ATAGTTACCTGTTTTGTACGAGCAGAATCACGATACGATACAATNATATATATATATATATATATACACTTAATCCGATAAATTACAATTTTTCGTCGAGTTTATCGTTCTCGTGATAAAATTGAAATGATATCGGACACGAGCGATATAGGTAACATACGATACGATAAACAAACGTTTTCGTTAAAGATAAATCGCGAAATCGTTCGAGAGATCGTCGAGTAAGTTCTAACGATCGATCGATCGAAAGGGAATATATATCCTCGGTTACGTCATACGATGGTGTTAATAAATTCGACGAGTTCAACGAGGCGGCACGCGACGAAATAAAAACGCGGATACGCGACTGAAAACGCGTATACATAACGCGTAGTAAATTCGAATAGGTGTTGCGCGAAACAGAACAGCCGATCATCCGAACTAGTTATGCAAATGTTTTGGCATTCTTTGCTTTGCGGTCTACGAGCGTATCGCGAAGTAAGCCGCGCGAAGAATGCCCTCGATCTTTCTTCCCCATTTATATTTTTCCACGTTTCTCCTCTTCGGAGAAGGTAAGCGATGGAAACAACGTTGTGCTCGCGTTACTCGTTGGAAATTTTTCTCCTCGATTTCTCCAAGGGTGACCAAGAAAAGACGCCTTTTCCCTCGCGTTCGCGAGGAATATCGAGAAGCATACTTGCGAGCAAACTTGTGGAAATAAGTTAAACATCAAGTTAGCGATAATATTACAGGCTTCTTTTCTCTGGGAATTGAGGAACAATTGCTTTTTTTTTTTCCTCCCCCCATCTTTTTTCACAACAATTGCTGTCAAGAGAATTTTCCGTGAGGTAGAAGGTGGGTTGTGGAAAGGAATCGCGCATTTTTCACGAATCCCTCGAGCGTGAATACGCAACCGTATAAAGCCACTCCGGATAGAAATATTATTTTCGCCCCTTTCTGGGATCGTAAACGAGGTTGTCGGCGAGAGATCGTAATAACATCGAGCACCATTTACCGTGGAAAAACACTGGTTTTTTTCTTCAACCGGCTTCCGCTCGTTGATTACGAGATGCAACTCGGTACGCCAGCCAACGAGTAATTATTTCTTTCTTTCTTTCTTTCTTTTTTTTAATCGTGCGAATTCATCGAACGAATTCATCGAAGAAGAATTGGCCACGATTGCAAAATGGCTCACTCCTAACGACCACGAAACCTTTTTACCCTTACTCGCCGAGTTTTCATTTCGATCGTTCCAATCATCCGAGGATCATCGAGAATCTTACAGAAAGAGAGAGAGTATGTGTGAAAACACGCAACACGCGATAGTACAATCGCATTAAATTATATTCTCGCTCGCAGAAGAACAAAAAAGGAGATTACTTTCAACGTATCTCTCTACGTCCTTAATAAAATGAGCCTCGAAGTAGCATAATCCTCCGATCGATAAGCGATCGAGCCCTCGATCGAGCAAAATCTCGATCGGTCCCTCGCAAGAAATGAAAAGAGGAATGGAAATCCTTCTTGTCATCCACGTGGCACTCGTTCAACAGGAATGAAAGCAGGGGGAAAGAAATCTGAGGCAAGGGCGTAAAATAGAAGAGGAGAGGGAGGAGAAGAAAAAGGGATTCCGGACAACGAACTTGCCTCTCTCTCTCTCTCTCTCTCTCTGTGTGTGTGTGTGTGTGTGTGTGTGCGTGTGTGTGCGTGTGTGTGTGTGTGTGTGCGTGTGTGTGCGTGTGTGTGTGTGTGTGTGCGTGTGTGTGCGTGTGTGTGTGTGTGTGTGCGTGTGTGTGCGTGTGTGTGTGTGTGTGTGCGTGTGTGTGCGTGTGTGTGTGTGTGTGTGCGTGTGTGTGCGTGTGTGTGTGTGTGTGTGCGTGTGTGTGCGTGTGTGTGTGTGTGTGTGCGTGTGTGTGCGTGTGTGTGTGTGTGTGTGCGTGTGTGTGCGTGTGTGTGTGTGTGTGTGCGTGTGTGTGCGTGTGTGTGTGTGTGTGTGCGTGTGTGTGCGTGTGTGTGTGTGTGTGTGCGTGTGTGTGCGTGTGTGTGTGTGTGTGTGCGTGTGTGTGCGTGTGTGTGTGTGTGTGTGCGTGTGTGTGCGTGTGTGTGTGTGTGTGTGCGTGTGTGTGCGTGTGTGTGTGTGTGTGTGCGTGTGTGTGCGTGTGTGTGTGTGTGTGTGCGTGTGTGTGCGTGTGTGTGTGTGTGTGTGCGTGTGTGTGCGTGTGTGTGTGTGTGTGTGCGTGTGTGTGCGTGTGTGTGTGTGTGTGTGTGTGTGTGTGTGGTGAACGCGGGCGTGCGCGTATCTCGCGCGAGGACGGAAAAAACGCTCGCGAAATCGAGGAAAGAAGGGTTGGTGTAACGCGCGAAGGAGGTCCTCGCCGATGGCGCGTCGCCTCCAGCCGAGCGATTACTTTTTTGTCGCTTAATCGAGAAACAGGGCTGCTGCTCTCTCGGCAAGGGGAGGAAGAAGAAGAAGCTCCTCTCGTAAAGTTGTCTCTGTGCGGGAGCGTGGTGGCCACATGTGGTGGATGTCCAATCTACCCGCTCGATGCAGAATTCTCGAAAACAGCCGCTGCTTCCCCTCGCTTCTACAACTGTTTCGTTTCGTAATCGCGTAGGAAATCGCGAATGAGATCATTCGTGAGAGCGCGTTATATTATGCAAGGACGACGATTCCTTGTGAATGAATAAGGGAATAGAATTTTTTTTCGAGCACACTTTTTCGTTCTCGAGATATCGAGATATATATTTGGATATATATTTTTCTAATTTAATCGAATGATCGATTCAGGAGGTTAGATATTCTGTGAAAAATAAGCGAAAATAGTGTGGAATTAATATTTAGGAGATACGAATTTTCTAGAGAAGAAATCGTCGATTATACAACGCCTCGATCATACTTTGGAAGTAAGA